TGCACATCCCACATTGAGGCTGATACTCTTGAGTTTCTCAACAGGAAATTATATTGACATTTTGGATGGGACAATTCTTTATTGAGTGTGACTGTTTTCCATATTGCTGGACTTAGCCTCCCTGTCTCTTACCACAAAATGCCACTAGGGTTCTCTAATTATTGAAATGACTAACATGCCCGCGTACATTCCCAAACACCTTTTAGAACTACTGTGTGATACTCAGAGACATTTTTCCATTTCAGTTCATTGCTGATTATAGTCAACAATTTAGGCACAGTGCTTTTCACATATTACATGTGGTGGCCCTTCAAAACTGCACATCTGATCCCATTGTCAGATGCAGTAGTTGCCATTTTCTCAACACTTATAATTTTAAAATTACCTGCAATTTTATTTCTATTGTAGTTATTTGCTTCCTTTTACAAACTTTTCTGATGCTCTCACTGCTTTTGTAAATACTGTACATGATGGAACTAAAATTGTTGTTGACCTTAAAACTAAGCCAACACAGCAAACACACATTAGTAGACTAAGACCAAATTAATAGTTGAAATAAAATGTCTTGTGTTGGTAGCCAGCACAGTTGCTGGACCTTGCTATGGAACTTACTTTATACACAATTATCAGAGTTTGCAAATTAAAGTTGCTAAGTATAGGAGCCTCTATACCGTTATTCAAAGCACACAGTAGTAGCAATGCTAATAGCGGTTCCAACTGCCACCACTTGTAACAAAAGGATAAGGTCTACTCAGGGATTTACTTATGTCCATGTATAACTTAGAACCGTGCCTGGGCTGTGGTAAGGGCTATTTAAGTGTTGTTGTTGGGTACTGTGGAGTCGATTTCAATTCATAGCGAACCCATGTGACAGAGTAGAACTGCCCCACAGGGCTTTCTAGGCTGTAATCGTTACAGGAGCAGACCGCCAGGTCTTTCTCCCATGGAGCCACTGGGTGGGTTTGAACTACCAACCTTTTGGTTTGAAGATGAGTGCTTAACTGCTGTGCCACCAGGTGTCCTAATTTAAGTGTTAGCTACTATTATTATATTATATACAGACTATATTATATTATATTATATGGGGTATATTATATAATGGGACTTATAATGTACTCTTATTATTAATAGAGTAAATCTAATGTGGAGGATTGCAGGGCACATGGAGGCAGATGCAAAACGTATATTTTGAGGCAACCCAATCTTTTAGTGCTGCTTGCATCACAAGAGGTAGATAATGATTTTGAACATATGCTTTCTTTTTCTCACGGAGTAGTTGACATCTGTGGTCCTGTGTAGCCGTATGATTTCATGATCTTAGAGGAGAAACACTCTGGAAAATCCCCCCTTTGGGCTGCTTTCAAGCAATACTCTCCAAAATAATAATTTTCCTACCAGAAGACTTTCCTATTAGTATATTTTCAATCTGAATGGGAACTCCCAAGAGTGCTCTATAGCTCTGGCTAGTTCATGAAGACAAAAGATATGTTTGTGGGCATACTTAATGCTTTTTGTGTGAAAAAGGTCCCCACAAAGATCTTTATCTGCAGCGGCTGGCAAGAGAGTAGAGGGACCACACTGCCTTTTTTTCTCATGATACATTCATGACCTATGACCTAGCTCCAAGATGCAGGGCCACAAGATGAAAAGAACCTGAGTTTCTGGATAAGTTTGTAGAGCAGAGCCCTCTACTCATTCTGGGCTGCTTTCCTACCTCATTATTGTCATGGAAGAGAGAAGTAAACTTTTATCTTGTTTGAGCTGTTATATTTGAGGGTATATATTTTAAAGCAGCCTAGCCTGAATCCTAACTGATATAGGGTCTTCATTTATGCTCAGTGAGAAGTCCCCTTTTTTTCCATGCAGAAGCATTTCCCAACATTTTTGGAACAAAGCTGGGAATGGCAGGGTTAAGTTTTAAGAACAAAGCAGTTTGGTTTTCTCAGAGAACATGATGGCACATTTACATTTTCTCTTGCAGGGACTTAACTCCATTCACATTAACAGACATTTATTGAGTATCTACTGTGTGTAAAACACTGTAGGAGTCACCAGGGATACAGAGAAGAGATAGAAACAATTCCTGCCTTCAAGAGGCTCACAGTCTACTAGGGCAGACAGCACAAATACACAAACAAATGCTACAAGAGAGGATGCATATAATAATACAGAAATGAATGAGGTTCTATTGGAGCATAGAGCTGGGAGAGAAAACTTCTGGAGGGGCGGGAAAGGGAAGAGGATCCCAGGAGGTCTTTACAGAAGAGATTGCATTTGAGTTACAGTTGAAGGATTGGTGGAAGAAGGATGGGAGGTCATGGGTCACATTTCCCAAGCATTGGGAACAAATGTGAGTTGGAACTTAGAAAACACAGGTAATATTCAGACTTTTATGGAGCATGAGGTGGGTGAGAAAAGTGGTGAGACATAACTCAGAAAAGGTAGTTTGAGGCCACATAGTGAAGAAGCCTTGAATGCTACTCTTGTTGTTGTTACTTATGTCGAGTTTATTTTTGTATCGATGGAGAAATAGTAGAGTTTTTGAGTACTGCAATTGAAAATCAATGGTATGTTTTAAAACACTGATTCTCAAACTTTAGCGTTCATCAGAATCTCCTGGAGGACTTGTTAAAACAGAGATTGATGGGCCTCACTCTCATAATTTCTGATTCAGTAGGTCTGGGGTGGGGTCTTAGACTGTGTATTTTTAACAAGTTCCTAGGTGATGCAGACACTACTGGTCTAGAGTCACCACTATGACAACCACTGTTTAAGGAAGTTGCATCTGGGGCCAGAGTCTTGGTGGAGGAGTTCAGAAGCATGATGGATCTGATAAAAAGTATTTAGTCCAGGTGAAAAGACCAAATTATTGGAGAAGAATGGGGCAGATAAAAAAGCCTTTGTAGAGGTAAATGGACAAGACTTAAAGACTTTATGAATGTGGAGGACAAGAGACAAAGAGAAGGAATCATGCTTATCTAATGTGAATGATGAAAAGGATGGTAATCCTGCTATGTGAGGTTGAGAACATGGAAGGAGGAGAAGGTTTGAGTATGGGAAAATAATCATAAGTTCAGTTTGGAAAGGCTGTGTTTGAGGCAATGAAGAATGTTCATAGGGAGATGTTCACCAGACACATTTATGGGCCTGGAGTTTGAGAAAGAGAGAGATCAGAGCTAAAGACACAAAATTTAAGAGCCACAGACATGGAGCTAATTGTTGAAATGATAGGAGTTGGGATGAAATATGGAAATACAGAAGGTGAGAGCTGAGGAAAAAGACCCTGGATGAAGAAAAAGAGACAAAGAATGAGGAGTTAAGGAGAACCAAGAGAGTAAAGTATCCTGGAAGGCATGGGTTTAAATAAGAAAGGGATGATTAGCTGTGTTAAGAGCTGAGAGAATAAGATGTAGATAAATACAGAGAAAGGACCACCGGATTTGCCTACTGGGAAGCCACCTTTGGGAGATCAATTTGGGGAGAACTGTGAGGAGAATATTCAGATGGGAAAGGATAGAAAAATCAGGGGAAGGTGAGAAGTGGAAGCCAAAAGAGTGGATTAATGATTAGAGAAACTTGGCTAGTAGAGGTCTGGGAGAGATGAAGCAGGAAGCAGGTGCTTGGTGGGGAAGTAGGGCCAGAGGAAGTTTATTTTAGTGTCTAAGAGACTTGAGCAAATTAATAGGTAAGATTAAAGAAGATTGGAGGGGAGAGAGAGACAGAGAGAAGGAGGTAGAGAAGAAGAAAGAAGTGGAGGAGGAGAGGTAGAAGAAAAAGGAGGAGGCAAAGGAGGAGGGGAAAGGAGCAATATTACAGAAAAGGTGAGAGGGGATGGATATAAGGCCTAAGAAGGTTATTCCACAAGAGGAGTAATAGAGGAGAAATATAAGCACTGCAGTGGAGAGGAGGCAAACCAGTATCTTCTGAGTAAACAAAGAAAGGAGATAATCTATGAAGAATGATGAGATGGGGTAAGGCTGTGGATGAGAGATGAGGAGCAGAGATTTAGAACAAACATCTACTTCAAGTATTACAAGAATTTACAAACTTTCAGTCTTTTCTGCCGTCGTGCTTGACTTTGTAGTGTGAGCTCCTCCACATGACTAGAGCAGTCACTCCAGGTCAGGTGTGACTGAGTCAGGCCACATACTGTGTGGCATTAGGTCCACCTGCAGCCTCCTGGCCCCAGGGTACAGTCTGGCATGGATGTCACAGGAATTCCAGGAGACACAATTTCATACACATTTCCCTACGTGTAACTTTTGCTGTAAACATAGCTTTCAACTCTTTTCTTCCCACGTGTACAACTGCAACTTTTCCACGAAGTTCTTCAGATAATACATCCCATCATTTAATCACTGCACCCTGTTAAGCTTCTTAAAAAGTTCCCCAAATTTAACATGTACTCCCATCTTAATCCTGCTAGACTGAGAAAGTATGTTTGAGGCTTGGCTGGGACACTTTTAGCATGGGAGAAGGGCCAACCTGTCAGGTTGTACAGCAACACACTGACCCACGTAAACTTAGGTTATTTCTTATTTGCTCATGTTTCATATTCATAGTAAAATACTTAGGAAAGTGCCAATGCATTCACTCCAGATACTTTTTAGAAAATGAGGGTGTTAATTTAATCATGGACTAAAAAGGTCCTGTTGGCTTTACTATTTATGTTTGCAAGGAATGGGCTCTGTAGTCACAGCACTCCAGTAAAGGATTTTAACTCAGGTCTGCAAGCAGTTAATGACAGGAAACCACTTTCTCTTTATTCTTTGTGTAGTCCTGCAATTCTCACCAGCATTTGAATGCATATGGAGTGAGTAACCTCAAATTTACTGCCACATAAGGGCAAGTTATCAGATATTTCATTTATAAGTAATAAGAAATTCTGCAAATAAATGAAGTTTTTTTGGCATTGTTTGATCAGAAGATTAACTGAAATAGCTGTAAAACATAAAAAGTATTTACTATTTCACCTTATTATTACTTCTATGAAATTTCTGTTTGTGTTATAAAGTTTATTTAAAATTACATACCACATATAAGACCAAAGATAGAAAACAGCACACTTAATAACAAGCCTCAAGCAAAACAGAACAAAAGAAATAAGCAAAAATCAAGATGACACATACTTACAAACGCTCCTGAACCTACTATGTTCAAGAATTAATAAATTGCGCCCCTTACTCTCGTCCATTAACGAGGCTGGTAAAAGTCATGCTTTTTGGCTTTCTACATCTAGGTATGTTCTCGGCACCTAATGAGCTTTTTAAAAGCCAGCTTGAAGTCTTCATTAAAACTTGTGTAGAGCAGAGGGTTGATCAGAGAATTAACATAACCAAGCCACGTCAAAAAGTCAGCCACTTCAGAGGAGACAGTGTAGATGCTCAGACCTACAATCAATTCTTTGATGAAAAATGGCAGCCAAGACAAAATGAATGCACCCAAAATCAGGCCCAGGATGCGTGCTGCTTTACGCTCCCTGGTACTAGATATTTGCTGGCGTTCTCCCAGGTGATCTAGATCATTGTCAAAGGGAAGGATCCTGATGGAGGTGTGGATTTTTTCAAATTCCGTGGTAGGGTCTGAGGTGGAGAAGTCAGACACACAGAAAGTCTGGGTAAGTTTACAACTAGCAAAAGAATTTTGGCTATCCGTGCTTCTGTTGCTTAAGTGCCGGCTTGATCCCCTTTTCTGGTAGAGGCTCTTGGCCGCGTGGTAAATCCGGTAATAGAGAATCAGTATCAAAGTCAAGGGGATATAAAATGCCCCAAGCGTGGAGTAAATGGTGTAGATGACGTGGTCGTGCTGGATGGTGCACTGACTGGGAGGTGGGCTGAGTAGGCGGTGGCTCCTCCAGAACAAAGGGGGCATGGAGATGAAGATGGAGATAGTCCAGACAGTGAGGATCATCAGTCCAGCCCTCTTGGCAGTCCTCTTCCTGGCATATTCAATAGCATTGGTGATGGCCCAGTATCTGTCCAGGGCAATGACACAGAGATGGAGGATGGAGCAGGTACAGCAGGTCATGTCCACACTCAGCCACACCTCGCAGATGAAGTACCCAAACTTCCAGCTGTCCATGACAATGTACATGATGCTCAGAGGCATGACAAGAACTGCTACCAGGAGGTCTGTCACAGCCAGAGAACATATCAGGTAGTTTGCAGGCTGGTGGAGCTTCTTGGTGGTGCAGATGGCCATGATCACCGCCGAGTTCAGCAACATCGTCAAGGTGGTTATGATCACCAGAGCCATGGAAATGAGCATCTTCTCAGTGATGGTCTTGGGTTTCACAGCCACACTGGCTTCTGGGGTACAGTTAGTGATGTTCATTTTTCCCCCCCTATTTCAGTCTACACAGTGGTGAAAGTGTTGTTTATTTTTCTTCAGCTGGAACCTACTTAGACTTGAATGTCTCTCATTCCAGGAGGCCAGAATTTCTTCAACTATGTAGTCTCTTGTATTCTACTTTCTGTAGGTAAAGGGAAGGGCCATAGGATTTCTTCTAAATGACGAATTCCTGGAAAATATTATACTACTGGTTAATGAATGAAAAAGCTATATTTTTTTCTTGGAAAACATGATAATATTTTGGTGTTCATAAATTCTTTGCACATTTTGAGTATAATTTTTTTCTCCTCTCTACAATTTTAGTTCATCGTTATTTCTACACATTATTCCTCAAAGGATATTTTTTTGAGTTACGTTCCTAAATTTTTTTATGAAGATATTAAAAAATTTTAAGTCTTTGTCTTGCCACCAGAATTAGTGCCTTACTTATATTTATTCTTACATATGTATATTTATATACAAAAATACTTTTTTAACATTTGAAAACACACTTTTATATTCATATTACATAATACTTAAAAAATTTTGGGAACTTGAGAGAAAAATTATGTTGTTTATAATAAGCAAACTTCAAACCAGATTTTAGACTTTCACAGCAAATATTCAGCTCCAAAAGTATATTAGTGTCACAATGGGATTGTACAATTTGGTCCAATTATTTCTGACATTTGACATATCCCACTGTGAATTTCTTTGGAGAAAAGACAGGAGAAAAGCATATAATGTTACTTTGATGTTTATGACAAATTATTTTCAGAGTAATACAATAAATTAACTGTGAAACAGCATCATCACCAAGCACAAAGATCTTTACATTTAAAAGATGTGCTTAAGTTAATACTTGTGTCTTTATCTCTCTTTCTGTGTCTATCACTTGGATAGCTGTGATTAAGCTGGTCAGTCAGTGAGACAGTCAGCTGACATTTATTAAATGCATAACTGTAAGAAATTTAAAGAAAGATACAGTCAAATGTAAATATATATTCATGAAAACAAGATAATCAAAATTTACATGGGAACATTCGCAGCCAATGGCTGCTGAATAGAATGCCAATTATATCCTGTAATTTGACTCTATGGGATTAAGTCTATGGATACTTCAAAGAAAAATTGATGTTTCAGCAGTTTTAAGAAAGGATATAGATTGATGTGGATTAGGTTTAACAGACACATGATTTTAGCAAAGGGTGGGGGCAGGAGCAAATGAGGTACTTCTGAAACAGGGCGTGAATGTGGTAGGGGCCTTTGGATGGGGTGGTGGCTGAGTCAGGAGTAGGAATGAAAATCTTTAGGCTGCTGGTGAGATCCAGCCCTGGATTTAGTTTTTCCTGCCCATCAAACAAAAATCAAGAAAGAGAGGCATCATTTATGCTTCAGATACAGAAAATAAAAGAAACTAATTGTAGTTTCTTTCACTAAAGACCACAAACGTATCTTTCTGCAGTTAAATGGTAATTTTAATGCCACTTGGTTTCCATTATGCTTTTACAGCATTTCAGAGGATTACCCACCTTTGGGTGTCTCTAGAGAGTCTCTCAAGATCCCTGGTGGTAGGGATGTAAAAGACCTATACAAAGAAAACTATAAAACACTACTGCATGAAACCCAAAGGGATCTACATAAATGGAAAAACATACCATGCTCAT